GGGGGGTTGGAACTAGATGATCTCTAAGGTCCCTTCCAACCCAAACCATTTTATAATTCTACGATTCCTTTGCTCAGAAACCCCATGTGCTACAAAACCCTGCACCTCTTCAGATCCTCTCGACAGGGTAAGATCAGGTTCCCCTCGTTAGCTCAGCTTCCCCATCTGCACATGCTACTGCAAGTGCCAGTCCCATCCCTTCCCAGAGCAGCAGCTTGTCACAGTACACCCCTCATCAACAAAGCCGCTGTATCTGCTCCCGGGTTTGGGTACTCAAGTATCATTAAATCGCTAAGATCAGGTCTCCAACAGCTCATCTCTGCCCCAAGCTACTGCCAGGGGTTTGCTCCGGGTAGCGCTGCTCCTGGCCGTTAATCAAACCACTCTGACAGTGAAGTATCACCTTTGCGAGGGGAAAAATCTAAACCAAACAATATAAATCCTTATTTGCCGGTGCAAAAAGCAGGCATTTGGACCCAAAAGCTGAAAGCATGCCTTTAAATGTTCTTCTTTTATAAAGGCAGCATTTACTTACAGTATACATTTAGGAAAGAGAAATTACAAGTAGATCCACGCTTTGCACCCACTGCACATATTTCAAGTTTTTGTGCTGTTCTTGTAACTTAGTGACTAAATATCACCACAGTTGGGTGCAAGGCAGTTGAGGGTGAACGGTACACGCTTAGAGTGGCTTTTTTTGCTACGAACACAGGCATACCAGAGGAGGTGACCCAAACCACCCGTGATTTACACGTGGTCTGTGCAGTATCTTCAGCAGCCTGCATGTGATGAAGGCTTCTGTCTTCTCTCGAGGACGCCGACAAACAGCCCCAGGTTGAGGCACTGCTTCGTTCGACATGGCTGGTGGCTGCTGCGTTGCTCTTCGGACTCAGACAGTGACAAAGTACCACCTAATACCTCCAGACCCCACTGTCTTCACAGGTTAAACACAGATAACAAAACCCCTCTGCCTCACAAGGATGTTGAGGCAGCATTAGCAGGTGGAGAGCTTTGAGATCCTGGAATAAAAGACATCAAAGGCTCTAAAATATTATTATGAATTTCTTACTGTGATGGGACACGTGCCATAAGAAATGAGGTCCTAAGAAAAACATGGGATTTTTTTTTTAATCATTGTTTTATCATAACTGCTCACCACCAAACAAATTTCTAATTCTAGTTCAAAAGCAAGTAAGAAATAATTTGGAAAATGTAAACAGCATGTAGTTAGAATTGGAAAATAGTTCTCTCACAGCAGGTTAATACACTTTCCCCACGGGCTGTGTCAAACAGGGCTGAGTGCACTCGGTGTGATAAGCACCTACACTCAGTGGCAATCCCCACCCAGTACAGCCCCACCAACGCTGCAAATCCTAGAGGGCAGCTGGATTCTAAGACCATATCATTTGCCTGTAAGACCAGATCCTTCCATTCTAAAACTGCAACAAAGGAAATGTCATTTTTTTCATGCTCTAGTTTTCAGAGGAGAGGATTTGCTTCTGTGCACACAGGAACAGAAACTCTAGCAAAGAAGAGACTGAATTATTATTATACCCAGCAGAAAAGAAACAAACTCACCACTAGACGATGTACAAAGTCAGCATACTTTTTTCCTGGTTTTGATAATTTGACAAGAACTACCTGTTTAAACTCCTTTTCTTCAAATTCCAAATCAGAATTTTATTTTCTATTTCCTAAACTTAAATTTCAAGCATGGGATGGGATAACACAATAACAAACACCACATTAAGAACATGTTTAAGAACACTTTCATCTTTAGCTTTTCTTCTGCAGTTTATTATATAAATGATGCTTTTCAACATTTAGAGCACTCACATTGCAAAACAGAAAATGTTTAGTTCCCCACTGAGATACTAGTGCAAAAAGTGGTTTATCCAAGTGCAAATAAGTTACATGTCCCCACTGACAGCCAGTGGATTAGGCTGTTTTTAATATAACTAACTCATTATAAGTCCATAACTAACAATTATGTTATCTACACTAAATCAGAGCACGTTGTAGTCAACAGAAATATTGGACTTTGGCTGATAACAACCAAATACTCTGACAGTACAAACAAGAAAAAAACAATTCAACTTCAAGCAGACCTGTGAATTCACTGGGACTGGAGACCACCATCACCGTTTTTCTGAGCTGACTTTAGTTGTAAATAAGCAGATGCCAGAAGTTCTAGTTCACTTTCAATTCCAATTATTAAAATACAGTAAAGCTCACACGCATGCAGGTATTGTATCCCAGTGAATGCCACAGGTCGTCTTTGGCACAAAACAGACAGCGCCTGAACACTGAATACAGAAATATTAATGCAATAATCTTGACCTGGCAAGAGGATAAATGAGAAAGCTCAAAGATCTTTCCCATCTCCAGCGCCAACAATTGTTGCTGAAAAATGTATTAAAATCAAAACTGAAACACAGCAATGCCTCTCAGTTAAAAAATACACACTAACCCCCAAGTTTTTAATTAAATCCAAACAAAATAAATCTTGTTCAATGCATAGATGCTAGCATATGGGGTCACTGCAGTGAAATACAGGCCACTTTGTCAGTAGTTATTAGTATCTTAGAAATCTGCACTCATTTCTCTTAAAGAACTCTTGCAATGTAAAAACAAAGAGAGACGCTTCATAAATAATGTCTTTATTAATGAGGTTTTTTGTTCACATTCTTTAAAGTGATGTTTAATTGAAATCTGCATAGTCAAGAGTGAAAAAAAAATATAATCATAGAGGTCAGACCCAAATGTGAATGTTGCTTTTTTTAAGTTAAGACTGGTCACAAAATGGAATAAGCAACCTCCAGAAATAAATGACCAGGGAGATGTGGAGAGCGTGGGGATAACCACCAGAAAAACCCTCATCAGTGTATCTGTCTATTAATGAAGTCTTCACACAAAGACACACAACGCTCATTCACATTCATGTGCACAATGGAACGTAAACTACAGAAGAAAGATCCTTCCTCTACTGAATGCAATGAAACAGAGCAAGATTATTTGTGCATTTAACCGAGTGTTGATCAGCTATTCCCACAATGGAAACCATTACAATACCCAGGTGGATAAACACAAGGTCCAGATTTCTTCATGCCCTTATTATAACCACATTTAAACTAGCATCCTACAGTAGGAAACATGAAGTCTGAGTATTTCCACAATACTAAGAATTACTCTTAACACACACTTTTAAAGCAGTATCGTCTCCCTTCTTCTTTACATCTCAATACTATCAACCTTTTCCTTACTGCTAATGTTATTCACAGTTGGTTGGAAGAGCAGGCGAAGAGGACCTCCCAGTGCCCACCTCATGGCTCAGCCTGTGGAAGTGGTCTGCAGCAGAACACCTCCAGCTTCATTTCCATAAGCACAGGCAACACAGCCCGAAGTCTCCCCCATCAACACCACAGCGTGACCACAAGTAGTATTTTTAATATTTAAACCACCTACTGATTTTGCTGTTGTTCTCTGCATTATAACCATCACCAGAAAAATACAGAGAGAAAAAAAAAAAAGGCATGCCCCTTACATAACAGCTGTAGGTAGTAAAGATTCACCCTGTCCACACGCTGGTGAGAGGCCATTTCTTACCTCCAGTTTTGATTTATGCAACTACTCTACAGCTGAGCACTAGTTTAAATGCAGAATTCTCTTATGTTGGTCACCTGGAAAAGCTATTCCATACTGTCACTCAACTTCACCACGCACAACCTAGGCTTAACACTTTGCATATGATTGTGCAGCAATAAACTGCAGTTACAATTTACATTAGTTAGGTTCTGAATTATTAATCTTATTCAGATGCACAGTCTAGGGCTGCAGGGAACTGATCATCAATATTCAATCACACAAGTTCAGATCTGGGTAAGGAATAAGTCTCATTTATCTGCTATGAGCCTACAGGCTTTAAATCTGAGATTCAAGCCCAGCAGGTCAAGAGTGAAAGTTATTAATGAAACTGAACCCATCAAAAATACATTTACTGCCACAGATACTGGAAACGTAAGACCTAAAGCATTTTGGAGATGACCTACAACAGTGAGTAAAAGGGATTCAGTAAAAACCCTTGCAGCAGTTCCTGCTCTTACAAGGGGGAAACACTACACAGTGAAACTCAAACCCATCCCGGTGAAATGGTGACTCCGGGGCTGAAACCCTACCTCAGCGTTCGACAGGTTAGAGTAAAACACATCCAGCACACAGAAACACCAACCACAGCTCCATGGCAGTGTCAGCCAGCATCCACCAGACATATGTGCTTCAACATCGCTTCTTCAAAAATAACCTGCTGTCTCCTCGGGGAACCAACGCAGTCAGAGATGGGGGAAAAACCGTCAGAAGTCTGGAAACGGGGACGGCAGATAACCAAATTTTACCCCAGAAATAAGCCATCTGGGCAGCCAGCACCTGCCACACTGGCTAGGTTTCCGGGCAAAACCACAGAAAACAATCCATCTTGTCCCAGCTCAAAACACCAAAAATAAAATTGGCTGATTGGGTGTGGGCTGACAAATTTTCACAAGCGGCAATGGCAACATTTTTTTTTTCCCCCGGCAATTTCACAGGCAAATTTTCTGGCAAAACCCAAATCTAATTAAATGAGGAACGGAATATTTAGTGCAATAGTATTCTTAATTTCTTCAGGCAAAAAAAATCCTGTATTTCTTGTGTCGCTTCAGGGGTTTAATTCAAGAGACCAGTAGAATAAGACCACTTTCGACATTAGTTCAAGATTTACACTGGCACAGCTGATTTGCATTATTTGTACTTTTTTAAGGTGGTGGTTATAAGGGCATTGGATTAGATTTTTCTTTTACTAATGCAAAATCCTAAAATAAATGCAATTTGGTAGTCTGAGAAAACACCTTACTCCAACATACAATGAAACTACTTTGCGGCCTTCTGTGTTTCAGGAAAACATCCCACATATTCAGATCATCAGGCAGCCTCACTAATTAAGACACATTAAAATGAAACATTTTCCATTAAAGTTGCCAAAAACTGGATTGAAATTTATTGCATGACGTTGCATAAGAAAGTGTATTATTGAAAACTGTAAGGCATCATGCAATTATCCATCAGCTAATTATTTATTATTCCTTGACAGATGGTTATATACTCTAAAGTTATAAAACCAGTTTCAAAAAAGTACATAAAAAAATTTAACGTAAGCATTAAATATTTTTCACATGTTTGTAGTTTTTAGCTGTTAAAAAGTGCATTCAAACATACTGTACTGGAAAGTTGCTCTGAACAAAAACGGTGCCGGAGACTTGGTAAATTAAAAGCTGAAAAAGAATGTTGCATGGGATTAGAAAGCTCGCAGGTTGTGGTGCTTAAACTTACAAACTTGCTTGAAATAATTTTTCAATCCTCACCATTTAGCATGTGTGATATATTGGCTAAAAACGTATTATTTTTATAACTAAACAGTCAAACGAATTCAAGTTACGTACACTGAGTGATCAAATAAGGAGAAGACTTAATATCCAGACATGGGACAGAATGCATGGATGTGATTTTGGCATCAATCAATGTACTGTGCCATCCAGCGGAAGCCTTCTCCATAGCCCTGTCTCTTTAGCACGCTGCACATGAACACTTCGAGCGGCCTTGCGTTCAGCTCTTTCAATGGTATGCTGCCCTGCAGAGAGACACAAGTGCTCCAAGTTACAGGATTGTTACAAAAAGATGGCTAATTCACGTGGACATTGCTGCTAGGGAATGCCATTAACTTGTGCTGGATACTGGAATTTTAGAAAATCACCTAAAACTTGTACATGTTACTAAGATCAGGGCCACTTGAGAAATACACTGAGCATGTTTTCACGTGCACCCACATTTGGAGAGGGTGAAGTACATGAAACCAGAGTGCAACAGCAAGCACAGGCACAGAGAATTTGAGAGCTTATACTCAAGCTTTCAGTCACAGTTCCCTGCTCTGTTTCCAACAGCTTTCCAACCAGATGAAAAAGAACATAAGCTTGCATTTGTAGGACTGACCACAGCAAGTGTGCTAGTTGCTCGCTTGCCAAGATCAGCACAGTGTGATAAAGCTATTGCTCAACTGGAGATTCACAATGGTATTCATGTTTCCCAGACTACGTGCAGTGTTGCAAAAACACAAAAAAAAGTAACAGAAGTCAGTAGTAAGTGTCTGCAGCCCAATACACCTGTTCTAAAACTAACCTGTGCAACTCTTTCACATGGAAAACAAGGTGGTAAAGATTTGTTCCCACTCGAGGCAAACTGACTGGCACTGAACTTAAGGAGAAGCATCTACGAGTAAATTCTTTTAAGAGGAAAAGCGGAATTACAAGACCAGGTGCCTTCCTCAGCAGAGCCACGCTGCTCGTCATCTAACGGGAGCTGGGACAGCCGCTGGAACGGCTTTGTCAGCTGCAGAGAGGTGTCATTCCAAGGGCAAAGGACAACGGAGCAACTTGTTTCTAGTGCCCTGTATCCAAATGTCTCCTACAAGTAGTACACCGTATTTCCTTCAAATTAGGAAGAGTTGAAGTAATCCAAAGATCCCTACTATAAATCTGCCTTGTTGCTACTGATGCCACTAGGAACCTTTCTTTTTTCCCCCCTCACAACCTACAAACTCAGACTTCTACAACGGTGCACATCTATTTCAAAGCTTTAGGTAAATATGTTAAGTAACAAATTGTACTATGGCTGCACTTTAAATGAGAAAAGTCACTTACTGAAAGACTTTATCCAGTTTTCTCTGACAGTTCTCACTAGAACTATAGCCTCTGAAAACTTGCTTATCCTTTTAAAGTACTAGATAGGAAAGTTGAAGTACTGAAAATTATTCTAAGTACAATTAAGTTTTCTCTGAAAAAATGTGATATTAAATATGATGACACAAAAAAGTTGTAGTAGAGATGCACCTAACACACAAAAAAGAAACTCGACAGTTCATTCGTTCCATGTACAGTTATTAAGTACTGAGTACTTCATAAATTAAAGCCATTTGTTTTGTGTAGCTGGAGTGAAATACAGTCAACACACAAATAAGGCAAACAAACTCCCTAACAAAAAAAAACAAAGACATCAAAAAAAAAAAAAAAAAGCAATA